AGGAATGGATCCACCGTGAAAATACCATCTTCTTTTTTTAGCCGGCTGCAGAGCTCTTACAGCGAACTCAACGTTTTGATGAAAACTGTATCCCAGTCTTAAAATAACCCAACTTCAAAGCAAATGCAATTAAAAATTAAACATGGCTGGGCACAAGCATGGTTATAGCCAAGTGCTTTCCAGTGCTTTTATCCACTACAGAAAAGATGTGGACAAATTGGAGCGAGTCCACCAGAGAACAACAAAAATGGTTTGGAGGCTGGAGGACATGACTGGTGAGGAGAGACTGAGGGAAATGGGTTTATTTAGCCTGGAGAAGAGAAGACTGAGGGGGGATTTAATAGCAGCCATCAACTACCTCTTCAGGTAGTTGGCTTTAAAGAGGATGGAGCTGGACTGTTCTCAGTGGTGCAGATGACAGAGCAAGGAGCAATGGGCTCAAGTTGCAGCAAGGTAAGTTGAGGTTGGATATTAGCAAAAACTCTCTCATAAGGAGGGTAGTAAAGAAGTGAAACAGGTCACCCAGAGAGATGGTGGGATCTCTATCCTTGGAGGTTTTTAAAATGCAAGTTGATAAAGTCATGGCTGGGATGATCTAGTTGGGGCTGATCCTGTCTAAGCAGGGGGCTGGACTAGATGTGACCTCCTGAGGTCCCTTCCAGCCCTCACTTCCTATGCTTCTGCTTAATCTCTTTGTACTAAATTTTGCCATCGCTACAACTTTGACTCTCTTCAGTAGGTATTCTGCACAAGGAATGGTGATTTGGTTGCAAAACAAAACAGTGAGAACAACATGAAAAAAGTTATAGGAGTATAGAAAAGTAGGGCTGGAGGGGACCTCATGAAGTCATCTAGTCCAGCCCTCTGCTCAAAGCAGGGTCCTCCCGGACGAAACTATCCCAGTCAAATGTCCGTCTAACCTACCCCTGAAAATTTCCTAGGATGGAGGTTCTGCAATATTTCGAGGTAGGCTGTTCAAACTACCCTCATAGTCAGACACTTCCTCTGTTGCAGGATGAGGGCATTGCTCCTAGTCATATAGTTGCTTAGTATTTACCCTTCCAGTCTGTGTCAAAGCATGTCTCCTATTTGCAATTTTTTTCAAACATTTTTCCCTTACC